AACTTTCAAAAGTGTGGTGTACAAATTGGACACAATACTTAGTTAAGGCTGAACCAGTGCTTTACAAAGCTACATCATAGACAGAGTGCAAAAGCAAGGAAGTTATTAATAAAGCCCAGGATCTTGCATGCAAAAGCAAAATATTGCAGATACTGGAAATATGAAATGAAAACAGAACATGCTAGAAGGACACAGGTAACATCAATGGAGACCAAAAGAGTAATATTTCATCAAAAGAATTAGCCTTTCACCAAAACTAGAGAAAGTTAGAAATGTGATTGTTTTTAAGCAAATGGATAAGGAGAACTGAGAAATGGTGGAGAAAGAACAAAGAAGAATTTCTCTAAGAGTGGAAATAGGAGACTTTGTCTATGGCGAGAGTTAATGGTGCAGAACCAAGAAAAAGTGGCAACAGGGCATGTAAAAAACAGATCTTGTGTATGGAGATGGTGTGAATAGTACAACCAAACAAATAGCTTAGTCTCCTTCAAAAGCAAATATATTTCTAGGCTGAAAGAGAAAACAGAAGAAATCCCAAATCAACAACTTGTTCAAAACTCCAAAAATAATCCGCAATATCCTGACCTATTTGCAGCAAAATCTTCCAAGCATAAATTGGCTTTGACAGACACATTGGCACCCACCAGAACCCTGCAAAATATCTGTTGTCAGTTTCCTTTCAGAGGACAAACAGGATCAGTAGAATGATGAACAACTGCCATCCAAAAATATAAGCAAGGAAAAAAGTGAGACTAAAACCTGCATAGATAAAATAACAAAATGGGAGGGCCAACAAAATTAAGACTACGATCTCAAACTGTGGAATGCAATGTTGAGTCCAGAAAGCTGTATAGTGACAAATAGAAAGATTGGATGCTGTTCCTCAAGATTACACTGAGCTTTATTGGAATACTACAGTGAAGGTTCACACAAGTCATTGTTGTTTCACTAGGGGTTGCGCATTCACTGCTTAAAATGAAGTCTGATCTACACTCGGGAGGCCAAAAAACCAATTGAGTTACCACTTTGTGTAACACCTTTGCTAAGTCCATAAATACGACCTGAGCTTCCAGTTGCCTATCATTTTAATTCTCCAATTGATATTTCTGCCGTCAGCCTACCGCATTGTCCCAAAGACATTCACCATTGAAAGAGCTTTGACATTATTCTGCTTTACGATATTTCAAAGACAAAGGGTTTAGAAGTCAGAACTCTCAGATAGGATACAAGTAAAATGCATGTATTTTCCTTAATAATTAAACCCTTTAGCATTCATCAATTCCAACCAAAATAAGCTGCTGTGTGGTATTCCTGGGTTATATCTGCTAAAAATATTTACTTGGATTTAAACCTATTTTAAAATTGCCCTGATAGTAAGAATATGGAGGAATTGGTAACAAATGTTTTGAGAGTATTGCTATTGCAATGTAGCTCCAAACACTACAGCTTTCTAGATTTAGCATTCAGAATTTGCATCATTCCCTGGAATCAAATTTCAGTTTTCAGTGCAGTCAAAGCAAGCACTCAAATAATTCAACTTGAAGGAGCTATTCATTCATGAATTACACCAAGAGTTACTACATTTACTAAATTCATCAAGTGCAGTGAGTGGCCCATGTCATGTTTATTCAGTTAAATTTAATTTTCAAAACTAAATAATAAGACTAGAGATAACAAGGTGTAGAGCTGGATGAACACAGCAGGCCAAGCAGCATCATAGGAGCAGGAAGGCTGACGTTTCGGGCCTAGACCCTTCATCAGATTTTCCAGCATCTGCAGTTCCTACTATCTGATACAATAATAAGACTGGGTTAGTTTTTTCAAAATTTTAAAATAATTTCTCCCTTTCCCCTGTTGATAATTCCATTCTTTTACACCCATGGCTTGCTTGGCAGTATGTAGGGGACCAGATTTCCATCAATGGACTATACAAGCAGCAGTTGGGAGCTGCTAAACAGCAGCCCAAAGTGACACTCCCTTTCCACTGGAGGAAGCCACCTGGCCTTCATTCTACATTTTCTCCTGCCAGCACACCGAGTAAACAAAATAGCAGGCTATTTGCTACATTCATTCTTCTCCAAGGACAGTTTATTTCATTGACCTTAATACAGTAATTACAAAATCACTCCAGGAAAGAACCCGAACCTGTTCACATTGCATCTGCATCAATATAGTCATACTAATCTGATTATACAGAATATTGAATACACCATACCTTTGCATGGAGATTTTAACAATTCTGTTTCAGTATCCCAAGAACATGTGCTAAGGAATCTGACAAATATTGAACCACCTCTCCTATCTCTGCCTTATACAACTGTCTGGTGTTGAATGCCCAGCTTAGGTCCAGGACTCAGTGTTCACCAAGTTGATTCTTACAATTAAGTTAAGCTTTTAGTTTTCAACCCTTGATTAGAATGTCTACAAAATATTGAGAGATTAAATTAAGCCTCTTTTGTCAAATCAGAGAGGTAAAGTTATTATGCACAAGATCATTTATTGGTTACAAAATGGATTGAAGGGTCAGTTTCTGCACTGTACATCTCTATGAATCTATAAAAGATCCACAAAACGCAAATCTAGCTCTTTAATTAGTAACTCAATGCTGGGTAGGGTTAAAGTGTGTAACCAGTTTTAGACAGGAACTTCAGTATATCACTGTAATCCAGAATTTATGGATGTTGAGTTAACTAGAGCAGTGAACATAACCAAAAGGTAAACTTGACAAATTTCAATTGAAGAGTAATTACATAAATAATTGACAGTGAACTGCTTTAGATAGCTAGTCTGTTCAAATGATATTGTATAGTTGCTGCTCACTAGCAATCTTTCAGAGTTTTAAGACCTCATCTCCTGTTAGCACGATTATGTGAACTGACTTCATTGCCAGGAGTTAATGTTCTATAAACCTGCAGCATTGAGTTCAGGAGCCCTTTTTGGCAACAGGATTATCTGTTCCCTTTGACTTCAGTCCAAGCAGAACTCACTTTATGCACAAATTACAATAGCTGACTGGGCTTCACACATCTTTCTCAACAATAGTAATTATGTCTCAAACAATGTAATTAAGAAACACTTGTCTTTGTTGTAATAATTATTATAGTGGCTAGATTAAAAGTTGAATTTTAGATTGTTAATTTTGCCCTGAATACTCCCATAGAAGCAAAAATTTTTAAACTTCAAATTGCTTAAGAGCTAGACAAAAGTTGATTGACAAAAGATTTTCTCTAACAACGGAAAAGAACACCTGGTCACTCTAATCTACTAGTTTGCTACAGATTAAGTAATGGATGACTTTCAAACTAAAGTCTCCCTTTTATCAGTTAACCAGTTGCACTTAGAAAACCTCACTCTAAGCATCTTCTAGCAAACAAATTGATAACGACCATTTCAGGTCCTCCATTGTCCGAGTCAATGGAACACAATCTTCCCTGGAGTGCATCAGACATTGGACAGGATTTTACTCAGAGTGATCAACTGAGGCTGGAAAAATAGCAAGGAGCAGTGTTAGGAAAATTCCTTAACAGTATCACCACTGGGAAATTTTCCCATTGGCAGGCTGCACAGCAGATTGTCCCACTGAAGTGGGCAGCCAATTTACATAAAAGCCTGAATAAGAACCATTTAACGTGACTTCTGGTATTCAGATGCCAGGGTGGCCCCTTTCCATATGTGCAGACAGCCAACTTCATGAAGACTGCATCACCCCATGTTGGTGACACAGGGACCCTCCACCGTCATACCCAATGCCATCCAGAGGTCTCCTATTTCCTTCTGGTTGAATTGCACTTATCAGGAGCCTGTTCACTATCCCTACTTGGATGGCAATTAGTAGGGGGCTACCTGCAATAAAATGGCTGAACTTGTTCTGCTGCCTGCAATGTGGGCTCAGGATACACTACTGGCCTGGACTGGGGATCTGAGGCCATAGTAACATTTCAAATGTCAATCTAAATACTTTATAAATGTGGGATGGCTCCTGCCTCTAACCATTCTTTTAGGCTGAGAGAGTTTCAGATACCAAACAACCTCTGGATAAACCCATACCTTAAATCCAAGGCCCCTGGTTATTAACTCCTTTACTAAGAAAGGTTTTTCCTATCTACACTACTCTATGTTCCTCAGTTATGTACACTAAATGTTGGACACTCCAGCATTCAGGTCAACATTTTACAGAGCACTGTGAACACAGCTCTATTAAGGAATTTTGCCCAGGAATTTCAAAATCATCTCTCAACAATTTAATGGAAACATATATTGAATGGTTAGCGTAATGGTAAATCTGTTCTCTCACTACAGGAAATCAACCATTAAAGGACAAACTTCACCAATAGTTTATAATTTGCATTTTGTGACAGACTCGTCCCCAAACCCCACATCTTCATAAGAACCAGTTGGGAGGAACAGAAAATTATAAAGGAGAAAAAATTGCTGTCAAGTTTTTAAAATGTTTGTTAGGATGTACTTTTGAAAGTGCAAATTGGTTTAAAAAAAAATCTACTTGCAGCTTCAAACAGAATCCAAAGCTCCAACTTCAGAAATTCTCAAACCATGTTATGTTCAACAGTTAGTGCTTTCTGAGAGCAAAGTACTCTCAACTCAGTTCCAAACAAAGATAAGCTCACAGTGTAAAGTGGAGTTAAAGGGATACATTTTCCTCATTAACAGTTTATTTTTATGGTGGGGTCAATGTTGCACAACATTGAGAAAGTACACAATATAAATGCAGGCCATTGTTCTAAATTACAGTGCCAAAAGTGGAAAGTAGAAGCGCACTCTACCCAAGGCTGATATGGCTCATCCTGAGATATTGAAATAAAAGTATTTTTGGATAAGAAAATCTTACATTTAAAAAATATTCAAAGGAGCATGAATCCTTCTATTAGTGGGAACTTACTAAAAAGGACAGCTTTATTATTTTGTAAATAGCAGTTAAGAGACAAATGCTAAACAGTCTGGAGTTTCAGTTGCATAAAACTGTAAAATAATGAATGCATTCATAGGAGACATCATGATGCTTTAATTCAGCCATATCAAATGAACAGAATGTTCAAGTGGTAAATATAGTACAGTCACAGCATACTTGCAGCCTCACCTAGAAAATTACATGCTTGACTACTGGACTAATAAATTTCCTTTAATGAGACAGCACCCCAAGTAAGCAGTTAATGCACCATTTTTATTCATCATTTTTCTTCATTTAAATTTTCACATTTAAATTTTCTAGGGGAGAGAAAGAGTAGAAGGATGATGTGATGTGAAGTGAAGAGGAGAGGGCCGGTGCAGCACTAACAGGGTTAGTAACAGGAGTCAAAGGGACAAACTAGACTTGTGCTCCACATTTTGAGAAATCAAAACACCTGATTTGCACAATGTTAGATCTCTCATTTCAGAGAATAGTTAAACAATTAACATACACATCATCACATAATTCAATGTACAAAACCTCCTTCATTATGGATTCACCTAATGAAATACAATCTTAAAAAGCTATTGTTACAAATTACCTACTGAATGGGAATTTCATAGGTACAATATTTTTGGAATATGTTTTAAATGCCAGAATATTTCCATTGTGTTCCTAAAACTTTAAGGTGTTATTTTAAGAAAATCCTTTAAGTCCAAATTTTCTTTTGATTCCTAGGCTCTGTAATACCACAATCACTGTGCACCTTTACTCCTAGAAAGAACTGCAGCACAGATATTCATTTGGCATCATAAAATTCCCTCTGGATAACAGCAGCTGTATCTTCAATGCTCAGATGTCTTAGTTGTAAGGTGTCTTATCGCCCTCTGTTTTTCTTTGTATTACCCTTCAAAGACAATGAGAAAAACAATCTGTGATTGACATTGTAAGTTTGATTTTGTGCCTACTCCCAATGAACAGGGAAATGCCAAATGTGTTGATAACATCTACATAAATAAATAGCATACCTCCTCCTAACTTAGCTGACTTTTCATGTAATGGAACAAAGTATATTGAAATTTATGATTTATGAAACAGAGAAAAGGCAGGTGAAGCTATGCACATATTTTTCTGTATTTTCTCTTTCTTTTCCAATTTAATGTGCTATCCACCAACCTTTCTTCTAACATGGAAGGTACTAATATGTATTAACATAACAAGACTTCTACATTAACTTAAAAAGACTTAACGATACTGAGAGATCTGAACACGCATAATAAAGTTTACAAGGAACATTACCATTCATCGCTCCCTGGCTTGAATTGCAATACCAATGACTGATCATAGATGCTAATTCATACTTGGATTACTTCTGGTAGAAAATTTAAGATACTACAACAATATGTTCTAACTAATTTATGTGCGCTTGACCCATTCACTGGAAAGTGCAGTACTTTTACATTTACTTTCAAAGGTCAATGAACATCCTGTGTTACACTCTGGGCTGCCACTCAGCCTTGTGCATGGAGTTTAGATTTTTTTTAAATTTAACCCTATTTTTCTAATCAATCTGTTCAGAGATATTATTACACATCCCTGGAGCAGGTGGGACTTGAACCCAGGTGTCTCAGTCCAGGGGTAAGGACACTACCACTGCACCACAGAGGGCTCTGCACAGCGTTTATAGGAAACAGTATCAATTGTTTACAGATATACCTTAACCTGGGTTTCACCATTTTCACCTGATTTGTACCAGGTTATTTATTTTTTGCAATAAAAATCACAACACTGAGCAATAACATACACCCATTCTAAGAAAATTTTTTTTCTCCAAAACTTTTCAACAAATAAGCTATACATTCCTACTACCACCCATATCGCAAAGCCCAAGTTAGTTTTTAATTAACATTAGGTGCAGTATCTTGTATTTTAACATTTTTCCGGTGAGCTCAAGTTTGGTTTTGATCCAGTACGGAATGCAATGGCCTTCTTCTGTGCACCTTTTCTACCAAACGCCAAAGCACACTTCAGAATGCATCAATCGTATCTCACTACAGGCTCTATAACACTGTCACTTGAAACCTTTACAGAAGTTTTCAATTGGGATAGAAGGCTGAAAGGAGTAGAACCAAAAGGGGCACCTACAATTGACAATATAAAAGTCAAAGAATCTCATTTTCAGTTGATCAGTGCAGTTTTGGTCTCTATTTGAAAAAAAGATTCAATTACATTGGAAGCAGCTCAGATAAAGTTCACTTGCCTCATTCCTGGGAACGAGGAATGTATCTAACAAAGCTAGATTGAACAGGTTGGATCTATACCATTCAAGTTTAGATGAGAAGTGATATTATTAGAACAAAGATCCTGAGGAGAACAGATAGGGTAGAAGCCAGGAAGAAGTTTCTTTGTGGAGAGATGAGCTTGAGAATTAAAGGTCTCCCTTTTAAGCTCAAGATGAGAAAATGGAACTTTCCACATTCTTTAGTCTGTGGAATTCGCCTACCCAGAAAGTAGCGGAGGCTGTATCATTGAAGTTGATCAAGGCAGAGTTAGATAGATTATTGATCGACAAAGAAATCAAAGGTGATGAGGCTCAGATAGGAAGAGAGATTTGAGAGCACCACCAGATCAGGCATGAATGGAGAAGCAGGTTTGAAGGACTGAATAGCCAACTTTGGCTCCCAAGTACTATGTTTCTTGGTGTTCTATATGCAAGTACCACTAAAGGAAATGAACAGAAATCAGACTAAAGAAATATTGCAAACACTACACTTACCCCACAAAACAATTATGACAATAAATCAATAAGCACGGTCAGGAAGGAGAGATCACATCCGGAGTGTGAATCAGCCTGAGTGAGCGTATAGTTTGGGGAATTTTCAGGCAGCATGGAAACAGAACTGGTAATTTTTTATTTCTTTCTCCATTTTAAACATTTAACATTCAGTAGTCCAGTTCAAAGGTTAAAATAGCAGCTGATTCAGCTGAGGTACAGTTATCAGTCAACTACCTGAAGCCTAAATAGGGCCTCAATAATTATTGATCACTATTGAGGGTCACCTTAAGAAAGAGCCTGTTGAAAGTGCATGATCAGTAAAATGCACAGTGTCAGGAAGGAGAGGTCACAGCCTGAGTGAGTATATGGTTCAGGGAATTCAGCATGGGAATTCAGTGTAGAAGGGAAGAGGTGCTTTTAGCTCGATGTTTTTCGTCTCAATTTGTAAGATTTTTTAAAAACAGGATATATTGAAGCCCAGGATCGGGGGCCCAGTACAAAAACAGTGACATCACAGGAAACCCATAAGTTCATTGGTTGGCCATAGCTACCAATCTGACTATCTAGTATAGGTTACTTTCAGATTGAAGGCAAATATTGGAAAATTTACAGATTACAAACTAAAAGACACCAGTAGGAAATTTTCATAAATCAAATTAAGAATTAAGTAAATAAAACAGAAATTCAGGGCCAGGCGATGTTTCATACTTGCACGACGTGGTAGTAGTGACCACACCTGTAGCAAGTATTGGTTGCTTGAGGAACTCCGGCCTGGAGTTGATGAGTGTGTGAAAGCATTAGTGGTGATCTTTCATGAATTACTGGAAGCAGGGAGTGTCCCAGAGGACTGGAAAAAGGCTAATATAACACACTTGCACATGGAGGGAGGGAGGCAGAAGACATGAATATATAGGCTGGATAGCCCAACCTCAATTGCTGGTAAAACTTTAGAGTCCATTTTTAAGGATAAGATTATGGAGTACTTGGAGGTACATGTAAAATAGGCTGAGTCAGCACAGCTTTGTCAATGGGAGCTCATAGCTGACAATTCCGTTAGAATTGTCTGTCTAACTTGCTCGTTATCTTCTCAAAGGAGAGCCAGTGGATGTGTTCTATTTGGATTTCTAGAAGGCTTTTGACAAGGTGTCACAAAGGAGGCTGCTAAATAAGATTAGAGCCCATGGTGTTAAGGGCAAGGTACTGGCATGGATAGAGGATTGGCTGACTGGCAGAAGGCAGAGAAAGGGGATAAGGGGTCTTTTTCAGGATGGCAGCAGGAACCAGTCTTGGGACCACAACTATTCATGTTATACATTAACAGTCTGGGTGAAGGAACTGAGGGCGTTGTAGTAAATTTTGCAAATGAGACAAAGATAGATGGATGGATGGAAGGAAGGTAGTGTTGAGGAAACAGGGAGGCTTAAGGAGGACAGACTAGGAGAGTGGGTAAAGAAGTGGCAGATGGAATACAATGAGGGAAAGTGTGAAGTTATGTACTTTGCTAGGAGGAATAGAGATGTAGACTATGTTCTAAATGGGAAAGATTTCAAAATCTGAATTGCAAAGGGTTTGGGAATCCTAGTTTACAATTCTCTTAAGGTTAACATGCAGGATTAGCCGGCAGTTAAAAGGCAAATGCAACATTACCATTCATTCCAAGATGGCTAGAATACAGTAGCAGAGATGTACTGCGAAGGCTGCATAAGGCTCTGGCCAGACCATATTTTGCAATACTGTGAACAGTTTTGAACCCCATTTCTAAGGGACAAGTTGGAGTTGGAGGGCGGCCAGAGGAGATTTACAAGAGTAATCCTGGGGAGGACGGGATCGTCATGCGGAGTGCTTGAGGATTCTGGGGGTCCGTATTCAATGGAGTTTAGAAGGATGGTGGGGCAGGATCAGAGTGAAACTTACAGGATACTGATAGGCCTTGATAGAGCGGACACGGAGAAGATGTTTCCACTAGTAGGAGAGACTAGCATGCCAGGGTACAGCCTTAGAGAGTGAAGGGAGAATCCTTTAGAACTTAGATGATGAATTTCTTCAGCCAGATGTTGGTCAGTCTGCAAAAAACTTATTGCCACGGAAAGCTGTGGAGGCCAAGTCACTGAGTGTATTTAAGACAGAGTTAGATGGGATGAGCTGAAAGTCCTAATTTTGCTCCTGTGTGTTATGGTCTTAAGTTTCAAAAATTCCTACCTATTTATCTTTCTTCAGGTCTCCTTCTATTTCCTAATCGGTGTGATTAGTACAAGTACCTCTTCATTGGCAGCACCATTGTTTGTAGGCTTTTCATCTCAATAATTGCCATTCTAATCAATTTCCAGCCCAGGGTTGCTTCTAAAAAGTTTGTGCGCTCTTTTTCAAATACTATCCATCCATCAACTTGTCCTTCTCAGAAGGAATTTTGGTCTGGTTAGAAACCAAACTGATACAGGCAACTTGGATGGGAAGGGAAAACTTGGATCAGCTTTAATGACACAATCAATACTATCACAATGACTTCCAAGAGTCATCCTATGACCTGCAACCCAATTGTAACTACTCGATTTAGTCAAGTGGTTTTGTTAATGCTTTCCTCTTGGTTTTAGATTATTCTCTATTATACATTTGTAGGATGAGATTTAGAAATTGAAAATGTTACTTGCAAGTTTATAGCAATTGCATCAGATCTGCAATTTGCTATTGGTCTTCAATAGATTTAAAGAATTAACAAAATCAATCAAAAAAAAGACAGAAAATGTGATCTCTGCTTACCTTACTGCCCATACGGAGAGAGTCAATTTCTTCCCTTTGTTTTGACAAAGTCTCATTCATACTACACAGATGATCGCTCATCATACTCAGCTGATCTTCATAGCTCCTCTTTGTCGTTGTTAGCTCATCCTATATTACATTAAGACAACACCATATAAAACAGTAATTACGACAGGGAACCTGTAGAATACATTTTGTGCACAAGCATGGAAGTTCTGTCCAATTTATAAAGGTCAACATTTAAGGAATCTAATCGATATAATTTTTTGTGTCACCAGGGAGTGTTATATTGATCAGTGCATAAATAGTACTCCTTTAAAATATTGATTTGGAAGAAAGTTTGAAAACATTACAGCTTAATTTTCAAGTAAATATTCAATTGAGATCTCATGTACTGCCATTTCCAAAAGATTCATACATTGTATTAGGAATTTGGGCTCAGTGGTATTAGGTATTCCTATAATTTGTTGTCATTGCACATAGTTGACATGTCATAGTTCAATCCTACTGCCCTTTATCTACTCTTATGATTCTGTAATCAAAAGATGTAGTAGTAAACTGGATATTCATGTTTTTGTCACTTGCTAGCATTTGCCACGCCCCTGTTTTCAAAGTTCATCAGCGAAAGCACGACCAGACTATCCCCCAGCATGCAAAATATCTGTGACAATTTAACTAAACACAGAATACTGCTACTACTAACACTGGGTTGTTTCAACTGTTTATTTATTGTGGTGAAAACTCACTACTATCTATCGCACCCACTTCCAATTCTTCCTACTCCAAGAAATGTTTCAATACATTGGCCACCCTAGCTGTTATCCTTCATTTTACCACATGAAAATAAGTGAGAAAATAATCCTAAACCCATGTAACATAATAGTGTCTACACTGAGTAGAGTATTTTAAAAAAAATATTTTAAGGGATGTGTGTTGCTTGTAATGCCAGCTTTGTTGCCTGTCCCCAATTATCCTTGAATGGAGTTGTTTGCTAGCCCATTTCAGAGGGCAATTGAGTGTGAACCACTGGATGGCATTATTGTTAATGAACCAGATGGTAGTAATTGCTGATAGTTTAATGGTAGTCATTACTGAGACTTGGCTTTAAAATCCAGATTTATTAACTGAATTTGAATTCCATAAACTGGCTTGGTGTGATTTAAAGAATGTCCCCATAGCATTTATCAAGGACTCTAGATTACAAGCCCAATGACATTACCACCATGTCACTGTCTTCACCTATTGTAAAAAGATTTGTAATTAGACCTCTGAACTCTGGCAGCCAGATTAGTGTTTTATTCTATCTTTCATGTAACTCTTTTACTAGATAATGGTTTTGCATAAAGGTGGTGACCTGGCTGGGACCCAAATTCAAGGGTAGTTGGCATTTTGGAAGTGGCAGGAAGCTAGGAGAATGTGGTGGGGTAGCTTAGTTAATTACAAGTAGCATTCGTGCAGTAGTGAGAGTTGATTTTGTAATCAAGATGTAGAGTCAATTGAGTAAAGACAAGAATACCAAAAGGTGAGAGTTCACTTTTTGGAGTATATTACGTGCCCCTACAGCAGCTACACTGTCAACATAGCATACCAGAAGAAATAATGCGGGTTTGTAAGCAAGTACTGAAACAATGAATATTAATCTATATACTGATTGCATCAGATTGGCAAAAATTGTAGAGTGTACTAACACAATTTCTTAGTGTAGCACATTTTTGTGCCAACCAAGGAGCAGGCTGTTCTAGATCTGGTCATGTGCAATGCAACAGGATGAATTAATGGCCTTAAAGTAAACGAGCCTCATGACACAGCAGCAACTATAACAAGAAGAATTTCAAACTTAGTTGTATATTTGACTAGAGCTTTAAACTTAAATAATAAATTACATGGATATGAAACAAAGCAGGCTGAATTGAACTGGGTAATTAGGTTAAAACGTAGAACAATAAAGAAGCAGTGGCAGGCATATTTGATAACACTTAGCAAAAATGCACCCCAGTGAGAAAGGCTCCAGGAAGAGGATGTACCATCTGTTTGCTAACAGAAGTTAGAGAGAGTATCAAATTGAAGGAAAATAAATACAAGCTTACAAAAACTACCGGTAGGTCAGAAAATCAGCTGATTTCAAAAAATAATGATTAAAAACATGACAAACTAAAGTACGAGACAAAGGTCAAGAAATATGAAAAGTCGGTAAATCTCAATCTGTAGACTGGCATTGTGTGTTTATGGTTTTAGCAAAGATTTGTAGCTTAGATTGTTGACTTGGTCATTGAGCTGGCTTGTTTTCATTCAGACATCTCGTCACCATGTTAGGTAACAACATCAGTGAGGCCTCTGACGAAGCGACGTTGTTCTACTCCGCTTGGAATTTACACTGTCCGGTCCGTTACAGTGAGTAGTATCATTTTCGGTTTTGTTCTATATGGGTTTGCATATGGGGTCCAATTCCACGTTTATTGATTGCATTATGGGTTGAGAACACTGCCTCGAGGAATTCCCGTGCATGTCTATGTTTGGCTGGGGCTACTACGGTTATGTTGTCCTAGTTAAACTGACGGCCTTCATTGTCCAAGTGTACTGATATTAAGGAAAGTTCGTCATGTCGTTTTGCTGCTAGCTGATGTTCATGTATTCTGATGGCTAGTTTCCTTTTCGTTTGCCCAATGTAATGTTTGCGGCAGTCGTTGCATGGTATTTTGTAGACTGCGTCGGTTCTGCTTGTTGTGGGAATGGGGCCTTTAATCTTTATGAGTGTTTGTCATAGAGTGGCTCTGGGCTTGTGTGCTACCATGATTCCTAGTGGTCATAGGAGTATCGTTGTCAGTTCTGATAGGTTCTTGATGTAGGGCAGTGTGGCCAGTGTGTTAGGGCGTACTGTGTCCTCTAGTTGTCTATTTAGTAGGCACCTGTGGATGAAATTGCGGGGATATCCACTCATCGTGAAGATTTTGTGTAGGTGCTGTTCCTCTTTCCTGTGCAGTTCTGGCATGTTGCAGTGAGTAGTGGCCTGTTTAAAATAGTGTCCTAACACAGCTTTGTGTGGGGGTGTTGGGGTGGTTGCTGTGGAAGTTGAGGACGTAGTTCATATGGGTTGCTTTCCTGTATACACCGGTTTGGAACTCCCCATTGGTCATATATTCAACTCTGACGTCCAGAAACAGAAGCTGATTGTCATTTTCTTCTTCTCTCGTGAATTTAAACCCAACAAACTTTTTTGTTGATGACAAATGTGTTGTCCACGCACCAGATCCACAGTTTAGGTTGAATGAGGGAGAGGGTAGTGTGTTCTAGTCTTTACATGACTGCTTCTGCAATGAGTCCTGAGATGGGTGACCCCGAGTGTGCCATTGATCTGTTTGTATACTTGACCATTAAAGACAAAGTGTGGGGAGGCACGAGTCTAGTAATTTGAGTATGTGGTGATTGCTGATGGACCTGCTGGTCTGCTTTCTTGCTTCCTCTAGTAACGTGGCCAGTGTTTCTTTGGCTACTGGGATGTCAACTGATGTGAATAATGCTATGACATCAAAGGCTACATAATCTCATAGTCACTGACTTTTATGTTCTTGAGGGTATTGAGGAATTCTTGGATTGAGCGGATGGAATGGGGTGATCCATAAACTAGGTGTTTCAGTCTCTGTTGTAGGTCCTTGGCCAATTGACGTGAAGGTGTGCCTGGTAGGAAGACAATGGGTCTGAGGGGGATGTCTGGTTTGTATATTTTAGGAAGTCCATAGAAGCAGGGATCATTCATGTATTTACGTTCTACCAAACATATTCAAGAGGGTTTATATTTCTTCCTACCTGTAATCGCACAATATTTTGATTGGCAACTTTTATTTCTTCTGACAGGGCTTCTCTGGACTTTTCTGCCAGTGCTAAGCGTTTAGCAAGGGCTCGACACTACAAATTTATAAAAGAAAAAGCATTCTGTAGGAAAATTTTCTAATTCACACAACAATTCTGTTTGAAATGGTGGTGTGAAAACCTGCCCCAGTGCAGCTGGAAATATTGAATTGAAACGCTTGTCCATAGACCTTAAACAAAAATCAACCATCTGAATGAATGAGAGATAGTAGGTTCAAAATCTCCCCTCCCCCCACCGCATCCCAAAACCAGTCCAGCTCGTCCCCGCCTCCCTAACCTGTTCTTCCTCCCACCTATCCCCTCCTCCCACCTCAAGCCGCACCTCCATCTCCTACCGACCAACCTCATCCCGCCCCCTTGACCTGTCCGTCCTCCCTGGACTGACCTATCCCCTTCCTAACTCCCTACCTACACTCACCTTTACTGGCTCCATCCCCGCCTCTTCGACCTGTTTGTTTCCCCTCCACCTATCCTCTCCTCTATCCCTCTTCTATCCGCCTCCCACTCTCTCCCTATTTATTTCAAAACCCCCTTCCCCTCCCCCTTTTCTGAAGAAGGGTCTAGGCCCGAAACGTCAGCCTCTCTGCTCCTATGATGCTGCTTGGCCTGCTGTGTTCATCCAGCCCTGAACCTTGTTATCTGAATGAATGGTTCCCTCCAGGATGCTTATGTTTATGATTATACCCTTTCAATTTCCAGCTTCCTTTTCCCCATACCTTCGAAGAAAACACAACATTTCCTCCATCCACACTACTGTCCAAGATCCAAAACAACTCAGTGAAATTTGCAATTTGAAAACATCTAATCAATATACTATATGTGCTACAGAGTGCTGTCTTCTCTATATTAAGGAATGAGTGAAGGAGTAGGCCGTAGGGCAACTCAAGACTGCTCTGTCATTTGGCTAACTTTAAATGAAATTTACTGAGTATTTGAAACCCTGCATATTAGATAATCGATTTCCTGATCATGTCCCTGCTATTCTCTCAGTT